CCAGTGCCCGGCCCTGCCCCTTCCCGGGCCCTCACCTTCAGGGTTCCTTTGCTGTTTCCTCCCACCTTCACATTGATCTTGCTGCCCAAGGAAAACTTTCAGCAACAGGAAAGGGAAGGCGATGTTAGAAGGGCATAAGCAAACCTATTTTTGCGGCTCCAATAACTTGTCTCCTTCCTCAAAACAGCCCCACCTCCTCTCCCCACCTCACATTTCCACAAAGTCTACACCAGCACGTGAATTATCTCACTTCAGCCTTCTAACAACCCTGTAGGGTAAACTCTGCATATGTTACTCTCCAAGTGAGAAAACTGAAGCTCAGAGCTCCAGGTCACACAGGCAGGAAGTCAGTCTTCCCCCAGGGACCCCAGGAAGAAGTGCTGCGGGGATTCCACGGATGGGAGGGTGGGGACGGCTTCTGACCTGGCCACGAGGCCCAGGTGTCCTGGCTACCCCGCGAGGGAGAGGTTCACCGGGGAGTGGTTCACCTGTAGCTCCTCCTCCAGGCCGCGAATCTGGCGGTTGTTCAGCTGTAGCGCGTGGGACCTGAACCCACTGCGGCCTGTGGAGCTGAGAGTCACATTGAGTCCCCTCTCCTCGGTGGTGTGGGAGGCAATCCAGTAGGCAGACAGGGCATCCAGGGCAATCACCGTGTCCTAGGGAGGTTGGGTCAGGACTCAAGCGCTTGTTCTCAGGACTACCCACCCCCAGAGTCCGGGGGCGGCCCCTACTTGGGTACTGCGGAATCCCCCTTGGAAGCTGCCCTGACGGGTGAGCCAGGCTGCAGTCTGGTCTGCCATCTCCGCTTTGCCCTCGTGAAGCAGGAGGTGCAGCAGGGCGTAGGCTGTGGTTTCAATCCACAGGGCTGGGGCCTGGGGCATGGGGTCGGCTGGGTTGCGAGGAGCCGGCGTAGGCGACACGGCATTGCTCTGAGAACTAGTGACTGAGCCCCAGTACAGGTTATCTGGAAGTGAAGGGAAACCACAAGTAAACAGGAGGGCAGGGAGAAGAGCCTGGTCCCTTGGCCCTTAGTCACTGCCTACTGGACTCTCCTGATTCTCCCCCAACACACCCTGCTTACACCTTCATTCGTCCTCTGAGTCTTCATCCAGCCTCTCCCTCTGGCCACACTCAGGGATCCTAAGGTCCCCTGTGCATCAGATTCACTGCCAGGAGCCCCTCGTCCCTCACCTCCAGTCTCCTGGGCCATTGCCATGAGGTTGTTGTGGGCAACACCCCGCAGGTCCCCGGAAGCCTTGGTCAGTGTCAGGGCATAGGCCGTGATGGCAGCTGCGTGGGCACCCAGGAGCCCAGCACTCGCTTTCTCCCCCAAAAATGAGTTTGCCTTTGAGATGGAGGCTTCCTAGAAGAAAATAGGATGAAAGTCTGGGGCCTGGACTCCTGGATTCCTGAGGAAAAAGGGGGAGAACTGGGGGCCAGCGGAGGGCAGAAACGCCACTGTCCTTACCACTCTCTGCTTCAATTCCTCTGCACCCTCGTCCTGGAAGACGGCCAGCCCATGATGAAGGGCGATGGTCACAAAGGCTGTGAGTGCTACAGTCTCATCACTGCCCACCAACCCCCCCTAGTGAGGGGAGAAAAGATGATGTCAAACAGGAGGGGGAAGAGGCAAAGAGACTCCTCCTACAGGTGCCCCTCGGGCCACCCCAGCATGCCCGCACCTGCATGTTCCTGTGTATCACTGGACAGGGGTCTTGGAACGAGCCATCAGCCTGTTGCTGGGACAGAAGCCACTTAGACGTCTCCTGCAGTTTCTCAGGCGAGCCTCCTACCTGCTCCTGGGCCAAACTCAGGACCTTCAGCACAAAGGCTGTGAGCCTGGAGGGGAGGAAGGAGGGTTGGGGATAAGGACTTGCTTATGGCTACACCCACGCCCCAGGTGCCTGGTCATTCACCCTCCTATTGTACCAGCTCTGTCCCACCCCTGCCCAGGCCCTGACGCCCTCAGAGCCTGGGAACCCCTCCCCCAACCTCACCAGGTGCTGCTGTCCCGTGACAACCAAGCCGCATAGGAACCATCCGCCTTCCGAAACTGCTGGATCCGCATGTAGCCTTGGAGAAGAGAGGCGGCCGCTCAGGTGACACTCACCCTTCTGCTGTTTGAACCCAAGGCCATGCTCCCCATCCC